TGCTCGCTGCCCCCCCCCGGCTGCTTTCTCCCCTGCTGCTCACTGCCCCCCCCAGCTCCGGAAGGGCAATAGACGGGTGTCAGAACTCCTGGCCGGAGCGCTCGAAAGGGCGAGAGACCGGAGAGAGGCTCAGCCTAGCTCCCAGGACGGTGCAACACTGAGCGGGACGGGAAAGACCCTCGGCACAAAGTAACAGCCTCCAGCGCCCCTCCCCCCGTGCAGCCGCCGGCGATGGCCTCTCTGGGGTGGGGAGCTTTTCAGGGCTGGAGCCAGTGACCCAGAGAGAAATCAGTGGGGGGCTGCACACTAGGGCCTAGGGGGGCCCAGGCTAGTAGATTGTGTGCTCCAGCCCTGCTGGGGGTGGCGGGGAGAGGACTGGAGTGCCAGTGTGGGCTCCCCAATGCTGGGGGGGGAGCCCCGAGCCTCGGGGGACCGGATCCAGCCAAGTCGGGGGCCGCATCTTGTGGTTCCCTACCCCCACCTAGCCAGAGCCCTGCTGAGGGAGGAGAGGACCAGGCAGCTGTACCATCTTGGCATCCTTAGAACCAGCTACTCACCTCTCCCCAGCAGGGCGTCAGTAAATCCCAAGCCGGAGTCCCAGCACCAGGGCGGCTCCCACCACCAGCTGCAGCTTCCCGGGGCGAGGGGGGAGAGCCCCAGACTCTACGATTCCCAAGGAAATTCAGGTTAGTTTGGGAGCGGCGTCTGCCGAGCTGCGCTGAGCGGGTCTGCGGTGCCGGGCGGGCAGGCTGGGAGCAGGGCTCCCGCTTGGGAGCAGCTCGGAGCCAGCGAGGGGGACAAGGCCCGAAGCAGCCCCCTAAGCCGGAGCCTTGCACGCCGCGGGGCGGACCCGCTCTAGTTGGGCTGCCGCAGCCTTTTCACTCAGGCTTTGGGGCGCGTCCAGTCCCCTGGAGGTTTTGCGTGTGGAGCCGAGTGGTCCAGTGTGGAAACACACGCCTGCAGTCGCCCCTTCTGAGAACACGCGTGCAGCCACGTGTCCCACGCACGCAAGAGCTGGGGGCAGGAAGTGGAAACCTGGACGAAACTAGCCCTGACGCTTGCTGAGGGGGGAGAAAAGGGCCTGGACGGTTCTCCTGCAAACTGGGCTTGTTTGGCTCAAGTCACGAAGCGGGAGCCCGCTCCGTCTCCAGGTGCGCAGGGAGCCAGCCCTCAGAGCTACCCGGAGCATGCCGTGCGGTGCTCTGGTGGCAATTTAAAGGGCCCGCAGCTTCAGCCATTGCCACAGTTGTGGTACCGGCAGAGCCCTGGGCTCTTTGGAGTTGCCCCCCGTCGGCGGGCCTGGCTGTGCCAATGCAGCTGGGGTAGGGGGAGCTGCTGTGGAAATGCCAGTTGCACAGAATCCAAGGCCGGGCGGGGTTACTCGTCCATCTCATCTGGCCTCCTGCACGTCGCAGGCCTCTTCCTCTGCCCCTCCCACCTCAGCGCTGGGCGCACGGACGTGTATTTGGCTCAAACGTCTGCCAGAAAGGAGGGAGACGCCAGCACGTCCCCAGTGCCACTGCGTCGTCCAGCCCTGCTCAGCGGGGAATTCTCCTGGTGTAACCGAGCCCAGGTTGCCTGGCTGGCGCAGAGCGATACCCGCCAGGGGCATGTGTGTCATCCTGCTTCCCCATCGGTCCCAAAGCCTGCCCGTTCCCAGGGAAAGGCATTCTGGGAAGCCCTCCCTGCTAAGGAAAGGGCGGTGGCAGGGCAGATTTCTCATCCAAGAGACACTGGGGAAGGAGAGACTCAGGGGAGGGGGGGAGAGGGGATGACAGGAAGCAGCAGCAGTGAATGGGTTTGACCACTAGGGGTCACTGTCCCAACGAGAATGGGTCAGCAGCTGGAGAGAGAGATGCAAGGCAGCCCCCGCCCCAGGAGACAAGGGGCCCACCCTGGCGAGCACCCAGAGCACCGTGCTGAATGGGAAGAGTCAGTCACCTGCCCCAGGCTGGGAGTCACCAGCCAGCATGGGCTGCATGACTTCCAGGGACCCGTCGTGCGGCTCCGGCGTGATCCCCAGCAGGTGACAGAGGAGGGCGTAGACGTTCACGCTCTCAAACGGCGCCACCTCCAGCCCCTTCTGGAAGGCGGGTCCCACGGCCCGGAAGATGGTCTTCATGTTCATCATGGCGTTGTCGAAGCCGTGCTCCCCCTTGTTAAACTGGACTTTGAGCCTCTGGAGGGCAAGAGAGGCGGATGTGAGCCCCCGGACCCCGCAGCGGGACTCATTCCCGGGCAGCCAGGCCAGAGGCTGGCGGAGGAAAAGCAGAGATGCGGCTGGAGCGCGTCCGGCCATGGGCCCAGCCCCCCGGTGCTGCCAGATCTAGCTCTGCAGACTTGCTTGTCCTCTTAGAGCAGGAAAAAGCAGCCCGAGCGTGTCCTCTGGCCATGTCCCATTTATATCTAGGGTTGCCAGATGGTCTCCCCAAAAATACCGGACACCCGGTATTTTTTGGTCAAGCAAAAAAAAAAAAGGAACGCGGGATAAGCGGCAATCATGACCCCGCCTCCCATCAGGGAGCCGCGAACACCGCTGGGAGCCTGTGATTGCACAGAAGCCTGGCGGGGGCAGGGCTCCGCACGTCAGGCTTCCGTCCGGTACCCAGCCGGAAAAATCAGAGAATACCGGCACTGCACATGTCTGGTGTTGTCTGATTTTTTTTACCGGGCAGAGGGCTCAAATACTGGACTGTCCGGTAGGATACCGGACACCTGGCAACCCTATTTATATCCTGCTTCCCCGGCCACCACATTTCCAGGTGGTGACTCAGGCAGCGGGATCCCGTTTCACTGGCTCCCGGTTGGGGCGCTATCCCGGCAGGGCCCAGAGCCGCGAGCCCTTTAGACAGCCATAGCCGCAACAGGCGGTCACCAGGCAATGCGGTAGCAGGGGGCTAGAGCTGCGAGCCCTTTGCTGTGTTTTTAATTCCAAGCCTCTGGCCCCAAACAGCAGGGGAAGGCCAGTCCTTGGCCCCGCCCCTTCTGCCCCTTCTGGGGGGCGGTGCCGGCCCATGACCACATACCAAAATTCACCAAGTGGCCCCCCTGCGACAGTAATTGCCCACCCCGTCTTAGATTGAGCAGGTGACGGCGAGGGCCTGAGAACCCTGCCTAGCGCAGGAGTTTTCAAAATACGAGTCGCGACCCACTACTGGGTCCTGCAAGGCCAGGCACTGGGTCCCTCTGCTGTAGGGTGGCCGGGCTGCGCCCCAGAAGAGGCAGCAACAGGGTCCTGCTGCTAGATGGGAGGGATCTGCCCCTGCCCTGAGCACCAGCTCCCCACTCCCATTGGCTGGTTCCTGGCCAATGGGAGCTGAAGGGGATGGAGCCTGCTGGCGAGAACAGCGCAGAGAGCTGCTTGCACACCTCTGCCTAGCTCCTGCACTTGGTGCGG